CTGTAAAAAAACGCAATAAAAAAGCTAGAATATTGGATGCACTCTCCCCTCTCATGACCCCAAGTAATCGATCTACAAAGATCAAAATACCGTGTGCTTTCCAAGATACTTCGACCTTACTGCCATTGCATCGTTAAACACCGTGTTGATAGTCGCAGATAAGAAACGGCTTAGGGTATCTACAGCGTTTCTGCGACTCGCAAACTGATAAAACCCAAGCCTGTGCAAGCATTCCAGCCTGAAACATTATCACGAGTCCAAACATTAAAAGTTCGAAAGCACTGCATCGAGGCGAGATTAATTAAAAACCGTACAACTTGTTTGGTTGATTACAGCGTCCGATGGGAGTGAACGAGTTGTCGCTTTTAGGCTTGCGGGGAATGTAAGTCACTATACTAAGCATAAAAAGACCAGAAACAAAAAAGTGGTAATATTAATAACAATAAAAATGTCGATACTAACTAGGTTCCGAGGGCCTTAGTACCTGGCATATACATATGTACACATATATATAAACAAATAAATAGAGAAATACATATATACATACACACATGTGTACACACACACACACACACACACACACACACGCACATACATACAGACACACATACATGAATACACATTTATTTAAACATACAAGCATAAGAACACACACACGAACACATGCACACATGCATATATACATACATACATACACACACACATACACTATTATATCTATACATATATTTATACATATATGCATATATATATATATATATACACATTTACACACACACACACACACGATATATATATACATATATATATACACATATATCTATATAAATACAAACGCACATATATAGACACACTCATACACACATATATGTGTGTATTTATGTACATATATGTATATATCTATACGTATATATGTAATATGCATATATGTATATATACATGTTTAAATGTGTGTATATATCTATATCTATCTATCTATCTATCTACATATATATATGTAGACATACACTCCCACACGCATTCATAGGCATTCTTTGAAAATGACAGGTAATAAGGCCCTCGCTAGCTAATTAGAGTCGGCATTTTTCATTGTTTTGGCGATGCTAGCGTTTCCCTTTAACGTAAATACATAATATGAGCACAATAGTATTATACATTACACTCTGCTGTATATGAGTTGGTAGTCTGTCCCTTTAATATAAATTCGATCACATTCAACTGCATACTAAACGTAAAACGGTATGTAGCCTTACGATATATAGCCTTACATAATCTAATTAATTAAAAACATGGAAATGTACTGTAGGCCTTTATACAAATTCAGAATCACGAATAATCTATAAATGTACCATAGACTTATATATTAACTTAGATCTGTAATTCTAGAATCACGTATAATCTAGAAATGCACCCTACGTTTACATATGAACTCAGAATCATGAATAATCTGGAAATGTAACGTAAACCCATCTACAAATTCATAAATATGGATAATTTCGAAATGTAACGTAGGCCTATATATAAATTTAGAATCATGGCTATCTACAAAAGCGCCATATGCCGGTGTATGAATTCAGAATCATTTATAATCTAGAAATATACCGTAAGCCTATATAAAAATTCTGAATCATGAATAAAATACTTTACATATACGTTAGCAACACCCAGGTTCTGCATGCCGGGTCGCACCTTTTGTTCGTTAACGTTGCATTAATTACCTTTTGTCCAACATTTCCCACGTGTGTCCAATTAGCTGAGCCTAATGTTATGAAATCGATAATCGCAAAATAACGGTTGGGGGGTAAAACATGCGATACTTATATCCGTGAATGACTTAATGACAATCAATGGGAAAACTATCCATAAACACTATAGATATATATAAAAAGGCCCATAAATGAACGAGTCTATTAGAACCGCTTTTATCAAAATTAGGATGGTTATCAGAATCATCATTAATAGGATTCGAACCAGATTAATACCAGGTTTAATATCATTAGCAGTATATTGGTCTTACATGCATTGAAATGGATCAGTAATACATAAAACATAAACCCAACGAGTAGACAAACATACAACCACGCTTTCGCACACCCACACTCATGCATAAACATACACCCACATGCATGCATACGCGCACAAGGAAGCACACGCACACACATACACATACACACACACACACAAACACAAACACACGCACACGCGCACTCACACGCTTGCACGAATGTGAATGAGTGTGAGTGTCCGTGCGCGTGCATATTTACATATTCATGCATGTGACTAAGCACGCGTTTGCGCATATGAGCAAACAAAGTAAAATGCTACAAACCTTAAATAACAAAGGACAAACAACCCGAACCCAGCATTTATTTAGCAGAATAACAACCCCCACCCCGGCCGTACCTCGTTACCCGAATTACGCCCGAAAGCCTACGGGACAGGAGACACTAATTCGTAAACACACACTTGGGGTCAAAGGGGCCACGAACGAGCCTCACGTGCGTCCGCTACTAACCGTGAATGGCGTGCACTTGGGAGAAACGAAGGTAAAATTCTATAAATTCAATTAATCCCTGTGGTTACGAGATACGATTCCGTGCGGGGTGCCTCGGAATATAAATCTAAAGGTTGAGAAACAGTTTCTGGTATTTGTGTGGACTGCCATTCTAGGGGGAAAATAGAATCGAAATAGTTTGCGTAAAATAAGGGCTTCCAATTTGAACTTGTAATTGCAATAGCGTCGCATGAAAGTGACTCCGAGCTTTTTAAAACATAAATTACAGTAATTAATAGATAGTTTGTATACTGTAAGCCAACCGCAACGCTTATCGTGCCCAGCAACGTAACAAACACGCTGGCTAGCTCTAGTATGCAGCCAAATATCCTAACCGAGTAGGTACTGGCTCGCAGGGCCGTACGTGGCGCCGAACACCTGGCAGCAGCCGAGCAGGTTCGACAGCTGAGGAACGGAGCGGAAGTTCTTTGTTGACCCAAGTTTAGAGCAGCTCCAGCGAACATGCGGTCTGCTAGACCTCCTGCTTCGCCGCCTAGACCCGCGTCATGTGGTGCACTGATATGTCCTCTCGCGGCGGCTCACTGGGACATGCCCGCTCACACTAGACAGCTCTGCACCTCGGCTTTCCAAACAACAAAAAACAAAGTACTCGGGCCCTTCATTCACACGCACACTTGTCGACGAACACGCGTACTGAATTGCATCAACGACAATACGACATTCACGATCACGAGCGTAAATCACCAAGCAACGAGAGAGCACACGTCCTGAATAAAGAGATCGCAGCAGGAGAGAATCGAACAACGGAACAGTCATTTCGGACTTCAATAAGCAGGTTATAAGTCATCACAAGCCTGTAACAGATCGGAGAGCTTTCGTACAAGTCTCCCCTGATAACGGTGCTGTCCTGCATCACACACAGCACCACCACTACCACCTGCTCGCCACCACGGCACACACAAACAGATATGGGGGGTCTACGGTCGTCTCTGCTGAAGCAACGACTGTCCCCGTCCGCACTGGTCGTTTCCTGAGGTAGTGACCCTCCGGCACAGCCCCGAATTTTGCTCTAAGGCCACTTATGAGATGCACAAAAGTAAGAAGACTGCAGCAGGCCTACACTAGCTGGCCTCGCCCCCAGACCCGGGGCTCAGGTTGGCGGGGCGCAGCTCGCTCAGATGAGGCCAGATCGATACTAGTCCTGGATACTGCCAGCGAGCGTGGCCATGCCGGGGTAGAACTCCCTCCAGCGCCGCCTCCCCTCGCAGGACCCGCCCTCTCTCCCCTCGGCAGGATTCCCCTCCTCTCCCCTCTTCAGGATCTGTCTTCCCTTCCCTCTGTAGGACTTTCCCCTTCCTTCATAACCTCTGCGTCGCTCACTGTGGCTAATCAAAGGATCCATTATCCCTTCCCAACAGCAGGGTAGAGCTCCCACCCCTTGCCTAATAACTCCACCCTCCCCGCTGCCCGCACGTCACGTTCCCTCCCGACGGCGGCGAAGGGAGGGCACACGTTACCCTTGTGGAACTCGACGCAGCGCCCCTCGTCTCCCCCTCCCCCACCGCCAGTCCACATCCGTCTACAGGTCTTCCTTCCCTTCTCCTCCTCCGCCTTGCACTCGACGATTATCCCACCTCCCAATCATCACCCCCCTCATCTCCTAATCTCCTCAATGACCCTTTGACGCCACGAAGGTAAATAAAGATTCAACCAAAGGAAAATAACATCAAAAAGGAACTCCCTGGACTGTCTCGCCCTCCTCCTGAGACTGTGATTTCCGTCAAGTCGAGGCGTCCTACCCGCGTCCCGAGGACCTGGCATCCATGTCCGTCGAGTCGAGGAGACGATACATGCCTCTCAAGACGTCCATTATTACGGGTCTTCGCCGAGCGTCCCTGGCAAGCTCAATCAACCTTTATCCCAAAATATTGTTTCTATTTTCTTGTTCCCTGAGCGAAATTGGGTTCGCAGTGGTAACCCGGAGCTCCTCCACTTTCTTCCCTTCCTGCATTTCTGGGTTGGAGATTGCGCTGCATTATTTTTTGCCTTCCGAAAAATACAAGGGAAGTTGGAGTATTTTCTGCGTGATTAAAGACGAAAAATAATTGGGAAACGCGACGTATTATTATGAGAAAATGAACGTCGATTCGCAGCAGATCATACTCGTTCTTCCCGCAGCACTAGGTACGTCGGTCATGATATTTCGCAACGTACGCAGAGACTGATCATTGCGTGTGTGCTTTTCCTTTTGTGCATTTCAAACAAAGAAAAGTGGCTTCGTTAAAGGTGCGACCAAAGGCAAGTATCTTTTGCTTTCGAACTCTCAACTTCGGCTGCACAACTCATCAGCAAGATCATTTGCTGGTGAAGACTTTCTTTGTAATTAAAGTTGGAAGTTAATTGTGACAAAACTATACCGTATCATTATATGAAAATGAACATAGAATTCGTATTCATTTTTCTTTTAGAGGAGTTCAAACGCCTG